ATCCATGTTTCAGGACATCTTGAGTCAGGAAAGGTATAAATAAAAAATGCTTTGCCTTCCAGGTGACTCTTAACAGATTTCAAATATAATTAGCACTTACTAAAACGATTACATAAATCCCAAACTAAAGTTGCAAAGACAAATTGTTTTATAAATTTTTAAATGAGTAAACACATTTTCAGGGGCTGGTGATTGAGGAATACTTATCATTCCTAATAATGTAAGGAAAAATTAAGTTGAAAATGTAAGTTAAAAAATCCAGAATATAAGAATGTAACAGTGGCTGCTGTACTAGGCTGCACCAAAGGTCCATCTAGAAGAGCTTCTTGTCTCCAAGGAGGCCAAACATATGCCTAGGAAAGACTGTAAAGGACAGAACAAGCACATACATTACCCAAGTACTGCAGCCACTGGTGGCTCAGGGACTTCTTGAGCCAGATGTGGTTTCCAAACAGTCTGTCAACCTCAGAGAATTCCATGAACTTGTCCAGTTTCCTCCTGAGCCTCTACAACCGCTCAGCACACGCAGCACGTCACCACACAGAGCCTCAGAGCTGACTCAGCGCTGTGTGAGGAACTATTCCCACCTATCTGTCTCCAACCTAATTTTTTCCAACTTGATTCTCCTCCAGTTTTGCACTGGAACTGATCATTTGTTGCGTCTTACTGTTTACCTTCTCCCACATCACACATAAGTTTTTTTTATGTTTACCACATCTGCACTTAGTTTTCTCTTGTCCAGACTGAAGCATCCTTGGTTATTCACTCCCTCCATGTAAATTGTTTTGTATGTAACAAATTTTGTCACCGTTCTCTGAAATTTTGCTTGCTTCCTTATCCATAGGACAGGAAGGTTGGATTAGATGATCTCTAAGGTCCCTTCCAACTTAGGCTATTCTATGATGGTAAGTAAGAACTGCACAGTTATTCAAAATATGGAAGCTATGGATTTATACCAGTGGCATAACGATACCTCCAGTCATAATTCCCAATATTTAATTTGCTTTTTTAATTGCTAGTAAACATTAAGTCGACGGTTAGCTCAGTGGTTTGAGCGCGGTGCTGACAACAATGACCAGCACCGAGGTCGCGGGTTCGATTCCCACTCGGTCCCCATGTGTTGCCTGGTCCAGTCGAGAGGTGGCATCCCTGCCCATGACAGGGAGGTTGGACTAGATGATCTCTAAGGTCCCTTCCAGCCTAGGCCATTCTATGATTCTATGATTTTCATAGAAAGGCAAGTAACAGAGCCCTACGATCTCTTTCTACCACATACCAATGTCACCAGTTTTTTCTACAGCAAAGTTTTCTTAAAAACAAAACAAGTCCGAACAAATCCAACAAATCTTGATATGCCACGCCACTAAGCGTTTAGCAATAACTATCACTTTTTAAAGAGGAAAGGCAGAGGGTGTTTTCCAACAGTGTGATTTTTTTCTCTAATTGTTACAACTCATATAGAAATCACCATAAGGAAAGTACATATTCATTGGAGAAGCTTGTTTGCTGCATTACTGTTGGGCTTGCTAGATCTCCTGAAACAAGAGACTCAAAAATCCAGCAAACAATTCTAAAGCAGTCTTGAAGGCTTGAACATCCTTTACAAAGACAAAAAAATACTAGTTTCCTTGAACCTCTAGGAAAAAAAAAAAGTTCCGCAAGAAGGCAAGTTGTGTGCTTGTGCATCATTGCTTTCTTACTTCTAATTATTTTGAAACCTAACACTATCCAGAAAAATCCAGAGAAGGTCACAGCTTCCTGCTATCACTATAATAAATGATACAGTCATTTATTAAATTATGTTCTGGCCAGGTCTGAAAGAGTATTGCATTTTCTGACAACAGATGAAATAGGCACAGTGATTTGCAAAGCAAACATCACAGCGTCTTCTGAAGCAGAAGTGCTTTTAGTTGGAGACAAATGCATTTTTAATCTTAAGCTAATTCACTACTATAAATACAGGATGAAATAAATAGAAATATACTAAAAGAAATGTAAATGTGATTAAGTACTAAAAATAAACTATTATAATAAAAAACTGCATTTCCTGACAAGTATTTGGTCTAATGCCTTTCACTTTCGCCACTCCAATTACTCATTTCCCCACCGAATATGTAAATACGTTTCAGAGGTGATAAGCAACAGCTTATCTTATTTACACACAAGATGCTAGAAACTGAAATGTCAATAACACTAAGATTTTAGCTGCATTGCCAGTTTGCTGCTTGTGAACGGCCCTGCACAAGTCATTCCCCAGCCCGACACCACTTCTTCAGAATTAGAGAGCACTGAAAATGATCAGACACATAACAGTTGTAGTTATTTTGAGGCAGAGGAAAAAAAAATTAACAAACTATCAATCCATGTGAAAAGAAAGTAACAAGATGGTTATGAACACAATCCTCCTTGCTTAGGCACACAGCTTGCAGTAAGGAAGCAGCTCTAAAGGAAGTGCCTGTGAGCCTCGGCAGAGGACAGAGGCTGGAAAAAAAAATTACAACAAACTATCAATCCATGTGAAAAGAAAGTAACAAGATTGTTATGAACACAATCCTCCTTGCTAAGGCACACAGCTTGCAGTAAGGAAGCAGCTCTAAAAGAAGCGCCTGTGAGCCTCAGACAGATGTTGTAGGGAGAGGGAGCCCCTCCCCTGAGGATTCTGTCCCAGCCTGGTGGGTAACTCCCTGCAGAAAGGCTCTGGGAGCCACCACAAGACACCACCTCTCTCCAGTGACTATCTGGACAACTTCTGCACTTGGTTCGTTCTGACTGCTTTGTTAGGTGGAACTAGGTGGAGAGACTCCTCCTAAGTAATTCTGAAATGACATAACTATTAACTAATGTGTCTCAGGGTATTAGAGGAGGAGGGCAAAGACTGAAAAATTAGTAAGACTATCTGATAGAGATGGTTAAAAATCTGCTTTTACTAAAAACCAGTCATTTGTCACATAAAAATTGAAGACCAGTAATTTGATAAAATGACATCATAATCAGGAGAAAAAGTATGGAAGTTAGCAATACTGGCATGCTGCTATTCCATCTTTATTGTTTCTATCTCCCAAACTACTTTCCATTTGTTTTGGTGCATTAGCACCTTCTCTTTCTGTAAATATGTTTTTGGGATTTTTTTCTCCACATTTTTTTGGTTCTGTTTCTTCCTTTTGTCCTTTCAACAAGCTCACACACTATAGTTATGCATGCTGGAACCTTTTTACCCAGCCTTCTGCCCAGGCTTATCTGTTAACCTCTAATGCTCTTCATGCAAAAAAACCCCTCTCCCTCCATCACCCCTCCCTCAATAAAAGGGGGAAAAAAATAAAAACAAAACTCAAACAACACAAAAAACCCTCAAAACTGAAAAAAAAAAATCCCAACACATCCCCTCTCCTTTCATCAACCCCCCCTCAAAAAAAGGGGGAAAAAAAATAAAAACAAAACTCAAACAACACAAAAAACCCTCAAAACTGAAAAAAAAAATCCCAACACATAAAACCTCACAAAGTATCTATCAATCTCCTTTTCCACTGAGCTCTTCAACCCTTTTCATCATCTAAGTTATTTGATCTAAGAAACTCTGCTGGAATGGGCAGCAAACTGTTTTGGAAACAACATAGAGACATTTCCATAAACTAGATCTGCCATAAGTAAGAGACGTATGGGTAAAAAAAGGATTGTTGTCTTGTTTTAGATCAACTTAGAAAAGAAACAGACACCAACCCCCCTGCTGCAACTGTGGTAATACACAATATCCTTTAACTTGGGCCCTGAACAAACATTTTCAGAGAAATGTACATTTTCTGCTAAAGAAAAGACAATGTTCTTAATTCAGAAATGGAAAGAAAAGACAAAGAACTGGTCTTTTAGAGCAAATAGCTGTGGGACACAACCAGATTTGAAAATAAGACACTTAGAGCTATATCAACAATTTACCAGTTTATCAGCTGATCTCTAACTGCACGTTAATATTTAAACGCAAACCAAAATTATTGAAAAACACATTCTTAAGACATGAACTTGCCTTGATTCAATTAAAACTGTCCATATGAAAAGCCTTCAACATAGCGTGTATTACTTGGGCTCAACACTGATTTAATTTGAAAACAAGTTTTATGGCACAATGAATTCAAAAGCAAAAATAATTTCCTAAGTAGGTAAACTTAAAATACTTTACACACTTCTTTTGCCCTGGAAACATTAACTATTCCCACTCTGCCAACATAAGAACACTGGTAAGCTCTACACGCCTTAACCAGCCATGCTCAAGGCAGCACAAAGTCTTAAACTCAAAAGGCGTGCTGGTGAAACCAAGGGTTCCAACTTGGAATTGTTGAGCCCCAGCACACCATCAAAGGTCAAAAGAATTTTAAGAAACCAACAACTCTCAGGATCATTCTCATGAGGAAGGTCAAGATAAAGAGATTCTTATTTACCTGCCAAGAAACAGCCCCCAAAACAGCAGTCGCGACAAGGCTGAAAAATACCAGCTGTTCTGAAATTAAACAGAAGTGACGCATTCCTTTAGATGCCATAACTCTGTCAAGGCTGTTGTTTTCTGCACGGTGGGTGTAGTATACCTTGTGACAGTCATTGAGTTTTGTATGAAATCCCCAAAGAGTTATAAAAAAAATCACATGACAAATCATCCAGAAAATTCCAAAAATAGAAAAACCAGGTATCACAAAATACCAGAGATCCAAATCGCGTAGCTTAAAGGCTGCGAGAACGAAAAAGATCAGTTCAATGACTCCAACTGAGATGACAGAAAGCCTTCTGCAGATTTTACCGCGGTATAAGTAGGGCTTCCATCGTTCAGTAACTGAAAGTCCACTGAAGTAAACGTCGAGAAGGGGATCTGAAATCAGGCAGCTGAAGAAACACGCCAAGGCAAATGGGTTTGTGGGGATTTTCAGTGATGGAAAAAACAGCAAGGATGCAATGGCTCCAAAAATTGCCAAATTCGGAATTGCCAAAAAAGACTTCATACGTAAGTCAATAATCAACATGGCCAAAGCCACAACCAAAAGAATAATACTGACAGATTTTTCTACGAGCATAGTTGTGCTGGCAATCGCAAACCCAACTAGCTCCAAAAATTCAACTGTTGTCAGCAGAGTTGGTCGATGATGGATACAACCACAAATCCTTTCAACCAAAGCACATAATATCCTTAAAACAATGGCAGAGAGGAGCAAGTATTTAGTAGCTTCTTCTTTCACATCTGTTTTGAAGGCAGAATTATTAAGAAAACAGAGAAGGCCAAGCAAAAAACCAAACCAAAGATTGGAGAGACTCAAACTTGCTGCTTCCATCGAAAAATAGTAGTACAGTATGCTGGCAATTCCAAGAACAAAAAGCCCAAGGATAAATATTACCAGAATCAGTGTATCTGCAGTTTTTTCCCATCTGACATAAAGACCCATGCAAACGGCAACCAGCAGGTTGATTCTGGCGAGATAGCCAAGGTATCTGACTGATGAGTGCATGTTCACTTCTCTGTTTGCTTCCTCCAGCCTTGTCATTGCTGCATAGAGACAATGACTAACACAGTAACGCAGTGACCTACACATGTAAACTGCAGTTAGGGGGTTTTACCCACTTGTCTGAAAGTAAATATCTGGGTTTCATTCAACAAACACGATGCAATCGCTGCCTTCTGTAATATCATTTCAGTAACAGTGGCCCAGAATCGCTGAAGTCCTGGAAGAAGAATTAAAAAAGTTTTAGTGGCGAATTCCTTTAAAACATACACAGCATAAACATGATACAGCCTTTCCCATCAAGAAGTTTAATGCCATAAAGACCAAGTAAGTACACTGTTAAAGGTCATTCAGATTGGAGTTGTTATTAAAACCAATATAAAATGGGTTCTGCCTACATCTTCATTCATCATTTGAATGAGAACAAAATGTAAACCAAATTTGGCCTGTGCAGTTTTTCCAAAAAATCTATCCATTAGGTATCTATACTGCGTATCTGTGGGTATCCAAAATATTCCTACAATATCCATTACTTTCTAAAATAGTTTAATATTGCCCTAAAACATCGTTCCCTGAGTTCTCACTTTATACTAAACCTTTTCTGTATGCTTTGGAAGAATTCTTTTTGTCAAATAGCTACAGGATTTACAAAAAGAAATTCATAATCAGTTAACAAGTTGAACTCACAGTAGATTATGAAAAAGAATATTATCGTTATATCCGTTTCACAGAAGGGGAGTGGGACATACAGATTTATCAACTGATCTGGCAACATTTTCAGAGACTATGTCTTAATGCAAACTCAAAGCCTTCATTTTCACCCCTCCAAGCTACTTTTTTTTTCTTTCCACAAAATAACTCCCCAAAATGATCAGGATAAATATTATATTTAGATCATAAATGCCTCCTACTCAGATCCATTTAACTCACACGCTTTTTTTTTTTTTTTTTAATATGGTATAGGAACTGATAGCAGTATTTTTAGTGGAATTTTTTAAGAAAACGTGGTGAGATTCCACTCAGGATCATCACTATTTTATGAGATAAGCTTCCTCCGGGTTTGAAGTCGGTCTTGAAACACAAGGACCATGGTAATTCTATTAGCATTTAATCTTACAGAGTTTACACATAAACAATAGTACTAATTGCTACCATTATAGGAGACAAAAGTTACAGAGGAAATAGTCTTTCCACAAAAATCTCCATTTCACTGAATTTATATACTTTACTACTCATCACAAAGTTGTCAGAGGCATCATTTGGAGCTCTCAAAGGCAAAAAAGGTTTGTACTTCAAAGTCTGCTCTGTATGCAAATTGTGTTAAGTGACCAAATGGCAAGAATTACGTAGAGAACTTTGGAGTGCTTTTCGAGAACTTTGGAGTGCTTTTCGTGGAACTACATGTAAAGGCAGCCACGTGTACTCCTGATTTTTGATCGTTTTGTGCCTAGAAACTCTAAATCAGGAGTCACTGAATGAATAAAACCGAGCCTACACCTCCAGAGAAAACAAGGCAGAAAACAACAGGTGGATCACAAGAACGTACAGAAAAAAACCTGATCTCTAATCTTTAGTGTCACAAATTACAAAGAGCCCCAGGACAACCGGTCATCCAAATTCCCTTAGTTAAAGCTACTGAAATCCTGTGTACTATTCATATTTATGTGTAACACTTTTAAAAAAGTTATTAATGCAAACTTTATCTAACACAAGAAGACTCAGATGTAGCCTCTATAACTTTTTAAATAATTACGTAATTGCCCATCTTACAGAGACTTCTGAAGAGTTACTGGCATTGACAAAGCAACTAATGTGTCAAGAACACTCAAAGCTGGGTTACAGCCTGCTGCTTTTATTTATAATGCTAGGAGACATATGAAACGGCACCTTGACTGAAATTGAAAACTTAGGCTTTACTCTCTCTTGATTTTTATATTCTCCTTTTTTAAACCATTGAATAAAAAAAGAAAAAGTGAACTGATTTCCCCATATGCTTTGGTTGATTTGAAGACTGACACAGAGCGTAAAATGAGATTGTATAACTGGCGTACTGTCAAACTAGGCTTAAGAAATCCTATTGTTTAAATTAAGTTTGGTAATACGTATTTTCAAATTACCTTAAACACCTAACAACTGTGCAGATAGTACCTGGAAGAATTGCACATTAAAAATGTGTTTAATCTAAATACATTATGCACCATATATATATATAAAGCAAATGGTTATTTCACGATGCCATTGAAAGTTAAAATTCTTTGGATTTCAACTGCACAATTTCATAGTACTCATTATTATTCATATTTCATACACAGTAACAATCCTGGTAATACACTTACTGTTCCTCTCAAACTTTAGATAACACAGCCAAAATATTAGCTATCATATTCCAGGTTGCAATATATCAGGTATTATCACACTGTCCACAGTTTCACTGTTTCATGTACTATAATCAACACCTAGTTGACGGACAACTTGAACCATTTATTTAAACTCGTACACATGCCCTCCCTGTGCCCTCAGTTACCTCTCGTTCAAACCATGAATACAGACTAACACCATTTCCCATCTCCTTCCAACTCACAGCACCGACACGTGACTACGGCTGTGCTGAAGCACATCTGCCACACCAGCCTGTTATCTCGATTCCTGAGCCTTTATGGAACCCCTCCAAGTCAAGGGGCTGATGCTATAAACATTCATATGGACAGCAGCCTCACGGAAATCAGCAGGCTGATTCACGCACGATGGGTAGAAACTCCTGCCTAACACCTGGCTTTAAATGTTGCTACGGTCGCTAAATTATTTCTGGTGGGGTGGTCAAAGTAGTGAACTTCCTTGCAAGCAAGCAGTCGCTCTGCCAGAACACTACTCTGCCTGATTCAGCTCGTGCCAAGTGAGGTTTTGCTGCCACCAGATCAAGAGAAACATGGAAGAGAAGGTCCTCTGCTGCTGCCCCACCTGCTGTGCCAGATGCCGGGGCGGGGGAACACGCCTGTTCCTAGTGGATAAACACAAAATCTGCTGGAGCACAAAATATTCGCAAAATAACAGCTTGGACCATGCATGCAGCCTCCTCTTCCTGATCTTCTAGCAAAAACGGGTACTCCTACACCACATTATTAACCATTAGTCTTTTTTGAACTGAAGCACATGGTCAACTTTTGGGTAAAAAGAGGAAAAGGCAGCATTTTCATAATTAATGCATCCTATCATACGGCTATTACAAAATAAACGTAACGCAGTAACTTAGGCAATTCGAGTGAGACATTTCAAGAGCTGATTTATGCTTTAAAACACAGCTATTTGTTACCGCTTTCTGTTAAGACTTCGGCTGTTCAGACAATGGCTGTTGAAAATTGGGGTTTTTTAAACTAATGGCCTTACAGTTTCAGATTGGAATATCTGAGTTTGGTATCTGAGCAAATCACATTTAGATGCAAACCAAACAGAACAGGCACACCCATAAATATTCGTCAACTTTTGCAAACACAACTTCAAGCGAAGTATGGAGCCTAACTAATCCAAGAGCTTTCCTGCATGTAAAGCAACACCATTCCCAAAGTAACTTTTACCATAATTTGTATGAGAAAGTACAAAAAAGAACCAAAACCCAAACAGTAACTGTAACTGATTTAAAGTCCAGGTGAGGCCTAGCTGAAGTAGTGGACTCTCTTTCCTTCAGCTTTATTTAGTGCTTTTTAAAAAAAACTCAAGTCTGTAAGACTTTTCTTAAACAAAACTGGGTATTTAGCGAGCACGCTGATACAGCAGGTTTAAACCTCAGAAGGAAGGGCTCCCTCAGTTTTCAGATGTTAACGCTGAGGCCCCATTAGGGATAACGGGTGTCGGGGAGCGCTCGGCCGAATAAGTTTACCGGCGGCACTCGGCCCCGCGGGTGGGCGCTG